CCACATAAATAAAATGAAGGAGAAAAATCATATGATCATGCCCTGGTCAGTGTGGCTCAGTGGTTGGAGCATTGGCCCTCGGACCAAAGGGTCTCAGGTTCAATTCCAGGTCAAGGGCACATGCCTGGGTTTCAGGTTCCATCCCTAGCCCCAGGCAGGAAGTGTGCAGGAGGCAACCAATTGATGTGTCTCTCTTACATCAGCGTTTCTTTCCCCCTCCCCCCGCCTTCCCACTCTCTAAAAATCAATGGGAAAATTACCCTTGGGTGAGGATTAACAAAAATAAAAATAAAAAATCATATGATCCTATCAACAGATACAGAAAAGCATTTGACAAAAATCCAACATTCATTTATGATAAAAACTTTCAGCTAAGTGGTTACTGGGGAACATATCTCCACATAATAAAGGCCATATATGACAAAACCACAGCTACCATCTCACTCAAAGGTGAAGAGCTATAAGCTTTCTCTCTCAGATCTGGAACAAGACAAAGATGTCTACTCTCACCACTTTGACAGAGTATTGGAAGTCCTAGTCTTAGCAGTTAAGAGAGAAAAAGAAATAAAAGGCATCCAAATTGAAAATGAAGAAATAAAACTGTCACTGTCTGCAGATAACATGATACTATATATAGAGAAAAAAGATTCCACCAAGAAACAATTAAAACTAATAAATGAATTCAGTCAACTTGCAGGATACAAAATTAATATTCAGAAATCGGTTATGTTTTTACATATTAACAATGAATTATCAGTGAAGAAATTAGGAAAACAATTCCTGGCCGGGTAGATCAGCTGGGTTGTAACATTGACCTGATGCACCAAGGTTGCAGGTTTGATCTCCAGTCAGGGCACATACAAGAAGCAACAAATGAATGCATAAATAAGTGGAACAACAAATCTCTCTCTCTTTCTCTCTCCCTCTTCCCCCTCTATCTGAAATCAATACAAAAATTTTAAATTAAAAAAAAAAAGAAAATAATTCCATTTACATTGGCATTAAAAAGAACAAAATGCCTAGGAATAAATTTAATGGAGGTAAAAAAACACTACTTTGAAAACTGTAAGAAACTACTGAAAGAAAATAAAGACAAATAAATGGAAGGATATACTACTTTGTTCATGGATTGGAAAAATTAACACCATTAAAATGTCCATATTACGAAAACCAACCTATATATTCGATGAAATCCCTATCAAAATACCAACAGCACTGTTCACAGAACTTGAACAAATAAACCACAAAAGACCCCAAATAACCAAAGCAATAAAGAGAAAGAACAAAGTTGGAAGTATCAGGCCACCTGATACCAAATTATACAAGGATACAGTAATCAAAACGGCCTGGTACTGGCATGAAAAGGCACAAAGAACAGAGAGCTCAGAAATAAACCTGGGCTTATATGGTCAATTAATTTACAACAAAGGAGGCAAGAATATATAATGGGATGAGGACAGCTCTTTGATAAACACCACTGAGAAAACTGAACATATACATGCAAAAGAATGAAAATGGATCACTTTCTTTTTTTTTTTAATCCTCACCCAATGATATTTTTCCCGTTGCTTTTCAGAGAGAGAGAGAGGGAGAAACATCGATGTGAGAGAGACACATCGACAGGCTGCCTCCCGCACCCACTTCAAGCTTGCAACCAAGGTATGTGTCCTTGGCTGGAATCAAACCCAGGACCTTTCAGTCCCAGAGCCAATGCTCTAACCACTGAACCAAACCAGCTAGGGCTGGATCACTTTCTTAAACCATATACAAGAATAAACTCAAAATGGATTAAAGACTTCAATGTAAGACCTGAAACCATAAATCTCCTAAAAGGAAAATAGGCAATAAACTCTTTGACATCACTCTTAGTAATATTTTTGGGGGGATGTCTCAGTAGGCAAGGGAAATGAAAAAAATAAATAAATAAAAGGCACTACATCAAACTGAAAAGTTTTTACACAGTGAATGAAACCATTAACAAAAAGAAAACCTACAGAATGCGAGAAGATATTCACCAATGATACATCCAATAAGGGGTTAATATTCTAACTATATAAGAAACTTATACAACTCAACACTGAAAAAAACAAACTGATTATAAAATGTGGGCAAAAGACCTAAACAGACATTTCTCCAAAAGGACATACAAATGGCCAATAGACACATGAAAAGATGCTCAACATCACTAATCATCAGGAAATGCAAATTAAAACCACAATAAGATATCACCTCACACCTGTCAGAATGGCTATCAATAAATCAACAAACAAGTGTTGGCGAGGATGTGGAGAAAAGGGAATCCTTGTGCAGTTGGTGGGAATGCAGATTGTTGCAGCCACTATGGAAAACAGTATGGAGGTTCCTAAAAAAAAATAATTAAAAATAGAACTACTATTTGACCCAGCAATTCCACTTCTGGGTGTTTATCTGAAGAAATCAAAAATGCCAATTCAAAAAGATCTTATGCACCCTTATGTTCATTGAAGGACTATTTACAATAGCCGTGATATAGAGGCAACCTAGACATCCATCAATAGACAAATGAATAAAGATATGTCAGACAGAGAAAGACAAGTACCATATGATCTCACTTATATGTGGAGTCGAAAACGAACGGAGGGAGGCAGGAAGGGAGGGAGACCAAGTTCACAGATACAGAGAACAGATCGGTGCAGATTGGTGGTTTCCAGAGGTGGGGCTGGGGGTAGGGAGGGGTGAATGAAATGGGTGAAGGTACAAACTTGCAATTATAAAATAAATGTCATGGGGATGTACATAGAGCATGGTTGACTACAGTTAATAATACTGGACTGCATGTTTGAAAGTTGCTAAGAGAGTAGATCGTAAAAGTTACCACCAGAAAAAATATTCTTTAAGTATGTATGGTGATGTATATTAACTGGACATAGTGCAGTGATCATTTTGCAATATATACAATTATCAAATCATTATGTTGTACACCTGAAATTAATATATGTCAATTATACATAAAAAAAAATCAATGGAAGAATACAAAAATGTTAAAAAATGAAAAGTTTCATAATACGGAACCTATTGTGAGATGCTATTTTATAATATCCTTTCCACGTAAGTCATCATATATTAATGCCAGAATGCATACTCCCACTCAACATCACCTTATTTAAAAAAATGAAAAGCAAACAACTCAGAGTTGTTTAGTGATCAGAAGTCTTCAAAATATTTTACTCAAGTATTTCTAAAGATATGAAAAAAATCTATGAATATTTTTAAGTGGCAAGAGATGTAATTTCTAGAGTACTGAAAACATTAACATATTATCCTAGAACTGTTACATCACTCTTTTAGGTGAATACAATGGTATCCAAATGCTATAGTGATGTGATACTCAACATCTCCATTAAAAAAAAAAAGATCATGCTAGACTATGATAATTGGAAAAATTTACATTTTTGGGGAACTCATATTTTCATTTCACTATTTCCAAAGAATTTTATTCTAATGCATTATAAATTTAGGTCTGAATAACTTTTACTGATCATTCTATACTAGTTTTTCACAACAAAAACATGTAAATTGAAATTTAAAATTGTAAACTAAAAAAAATTTCCTCTGTCTCTAAGTGTTAAAAATTCTTCTGTATTGAGTTATCATTTACAATTGTTATGAACATAAATTAAAACATAATTTTCAATTTTTGATAGAAGCACAAAAACTGATTATTTCAGAAATGCATTTCTGAGTGAGATGAACAGTACCTTTCTTCCTTGCATTAGTTTATATATCTACTGTGGTCCAATATTACTTATTACTAGGAAGTGAAGAATTTAGTGTAAATTCTACTGCTTTTTTTGGGTGGAAATATCGAGAAACCCTATTCATATAGAGATGAAAGAAGTTCTGTTATACCCAGGTCTCTCAACGTTTTTAACTTCTTTCAAATTAACTACCAAAAATCACACCCACACCAAGATCTAGTATCAAAAAATAATTCTTAGTCACCTATCAAATGATGACTTGTTAAAAATACACCAGTCTTTCATTAGAAGATTCCCCCTCATCATTCACTTTGTCAGCACTGATGAGATGCACCACAGCAAGGTTCTGGGTAGTGAGAATAGTCCAACCCATTTCAACTAGTGCTTCAATCTTTTTCATAATAACTACACAAAGGGTGAACATAAAAGCCCTTAGTGATAGGGGAAACCTCTATGTCTTCTAGACAGAACTTCTGTGATGATGGCAATGTTCTATATCTCCACTGTCCAATATGATAGCCACTAGCAACATGTGGCTATTTAAATTTAAAAATTCATAATGCTCAATATTCACATGTGGCTAGTAGCAACTCTATTGACCAGCACATTTAGAACCTTCTACTCAGAGTGTGGTCTGCAGCTTTGGCTGGCAGCTGCTGGAAGTGCATAACCTCAGGCTCCACCTCATATCTACTCAATCATATTATACCTTCTAACAAAATCCCCAGGTGATTCATATATACTCAAAGCACTATGCTAGTGCCCTCTAATTTGTGGCAAGTATTTCCTTATGTTGACACGAAACAAAACCTCCCTCCATGAAATGTCCACCCTCAGGCCTTAATTCCTGCTCCCGGTCAAACAGTTGCAAAATCCAGCAACACCCCTTCCAAGTATTTGAGCAGCTACGAAATCCTCCCCCACCCACGTTTTTCTCTCTTCTCCACATCTAACTTTCTCGAAGTTAAATACAACTCCTTCAACCACTTCTGTATGAGACAGGGTCCCAAACTGGAGCCCCGACTCTCGGAAAGCACGTGTCAAAGTCGGTGGGTGAAAGAGCTGGCTGCTCTCTTGGTCCCCAAGAAACTAACAGTTCCTGGCCTCCGGGCTTCTCGAACTGACTCCACAACCCGGCAGTAGGGTCAACCCTCCTGCTCGGCTCTTTCGGTCCCACTCGCAGCCCAACTCCTGTCACCCTCCTCCATCTCCTGGTCCCATTTCCGCGACCCAGCCCAGTTCTTCCCTTTCCCGGGCTGACACCTGACTCAGAAGACGTGGCCGAGACACGATGCCCCGCAGATCTACGTAGATAGGGGAAGAGAGCCCGCTCTTCAGCACGAAGTTCCCAAACTTGAAAGCCTGAACGTCGTAGAGACCCGCTACCAACGACCCCAAAGCTGCCTCGGCGGTCGCCATGGTGCGTTGGTCCACGTTCGCGCCAAACCCCGTAGTGCGCCGGAGCTGAGGCGCTTCGATGACGTGCCAGAGAAGCCCCGCCTCTTCCGCCCCCACTTTCCGGCGGCCGGACTGGCTCGCAGCGCGCGCGCCTTTAGGGCCGAGGTAGCGAGGGTCAGGTGGCTGTAGTGGCCCTTCTCCCGGAATTGATGCTAATATTGGCCGCCTCTGGTTGGAATCCATGGACTTTAAAGCCCAGAATAGTTAGGTCGACTCCAAGATCATAAAGTGAAACGTTTCAAGAGACTTTGTGTAAATCCTGCCCACTTTTCAGAGCTTAGTGTCCTCTTAATTATCTCTACTACTCNTCATAAAGTGAAACGTTTCAAGAGACTTTGTGTGAATCCTGCCCACTTTTCAGAGCTTAGTGTTCTCTTAATTATCTCTACTAGGCCCAGCCCGTCGTTATTTGCTTGTTACTAACCACGCCCCCCACCCGGTTTCACCAAATAGAGTGTAAGCTCTCGAAGACGGGAACCTGTTCTCAGTTCTACGAACGGCGCGGCGTCCGTCACGTGACAATGTCGGACTCTAAAGCGCGGGGCAGGCCAGTTACCTCGTCCGTCGGCGCCGCGTATCCCGGGGGAGGACGTGC